CTCAGCGCTCGTCAAAACATTCGCATCGAAAATATAGCTGTTAGAAAGAGGAAAAAATTCTGCATAGGATACTGAGCAATCGTTTATATTTATTTTAAGGCATTTTACTGTAAGCAATCGTTTATATTTATTTTAAGGCATTTTACTGTCGGTCCAAAAAACGGAAAGAACTTTTGCACCGGACTAATAGAATGCAATCGTTTATTTTTGGTTTAAGGCATTTTACTGTTGGTTCAAAAAACGGAAAGAACTTTTGCACCGGACTAATATTATTGCGGAAAGAACTTTTGCACCGACCTAATATTAGGTTGGCGAAGAACTTTTGCACCGACCTAATACATCCAGTAGCATTCTTTTGCACGACCTATATAATTGCAAAGTGACTGTAGAGGAATTTTGTAGGAGAATTTTGAATTCAATTTTTTGTCTACGTCTTCCCTTCGACAATTATCGTCAAGTACCATGACGGTTATTGCATCTTTTGCGTGATTCACCAAGAAAAATTGTCAGGTCAATTTAAGAGTTTTGTCATTTCGAAATGATCCACAAATCCCGCACAGTCGAGATAAATATAAACAAACACTACAAGCTGTATCCGACGCAGAATTCCCCTCTTTCCTGCTGAGAACATGCTGAGAAATTCACGGAAAAGTATAATGCGTCGTATTCACCTCTGTCCAAATCTCGCTATTCAAAACTTTTATTCGGGACTTTTAGGGGAGCTTTGATTGCCAGCAGATGGGCTGGACATTCTTCGATGCAACCTTTTCTCCATTTCTGACTGCTGTCTTTTCTTGAACACAAGCGGAATTTAAGGGGAAAATCGCAATCGAAAATCTCAATTTCACGAATACGCAGTGCTTCATTTTGAAGCGAAAATCGCTCATTTGTGTTGTAAGTTTAGTATAGTAATAGTTAGGTATCCAAACCACAGTACCCCAAAGATTTTACAGTGTTTAGTGCAAACAGATTATGCGATTCTTCCTCAAGGGTTTTGGAAAATTATTCACCAAGACAAAAAGAGCAGGTGGATAAAGAAGAAAAATTGTTTTGTTTGCAAAATACACCCTACCTGTTTCTTGTTAGAGATCACCCCAAAAGTTAAAAGTAAAAATTTCGAAAATCATCGAAATTAGGACATGGTGAAAACAAAAAGCTGTGATTTCCAGCATTATCTCTGTACCCTCAAAAAGTCATACTAGGAAGTGTCCGTTTTTTGTTACTGTCTTAGATTTGGCCATTAAAAAAAATAGCAAAATCTTGGACCGACCTAGCATTGAAAAAAAAACGACTTACTCAGAAATTGCTCCAGGTGGTTTACAGCACGATTCTTGGCAGAATGTGAGACAGGTCTGATACTGTGTCTGAAAGAAGGTGCTTAAGCAGGTAAAAGTAAGAGAAGGGAAAAAGGCCTCTTTTGGCACACACCATCCTCTGCTTATTTTTTCTATTTTCTAAATAGTTGAATTTTTTCTTAGCCAAAGAAGCTGACCTGTTTGCAGTATGTGCCGCAAGTGTCTGAATGTCCTTCGGCGCAAGCGATGTCTGGCACCCATAGGTTTGCCGATCCCGAGTCCAAGAAAACCACGAACGATTGTGGAGGTGTACCCAAAGTGATCTGCGCCATATAAGCCATGTCATCGTAGTCAATCACTGGAGTGCTGGTCGAGTCTAGTTGTGCTGCGAGTTTTTGTGCACGAGCGGCTTTTTCTTGCACATACTGCGCGAGTTTTCCTTCTTGGTACATTCTCATTCTCACGGATGGGGTGTATCTAAAGAACTTAGAGTAAATCGGTAACAAAATCTAATGAAACTTACTGT